GTACTGAATAAAGCGTGCCATGCACCACCACGCTGTCTATCGTTTGTACGGGCGACCACCCACTACATAACAAGTTGTAATTCCAGGCGATCTCTAGGGCTCCCCCCCGGGGAGGGTGGCAACCCTGGGTTGCAATATGTGCTAGAAGTCAGGCCAGGGAGAGGTCAGGGAGGAGACGAATGAGTTTTGGCCCCGGGACAGAGGGCAATTGAGGTTGGCCATGGCGCTGGGACATGCCAGAGATCTGTTCTGACTTTTCCCCCTGTGCATTGACAGATATGTTTAGCCGTTTACCTGAACACATCCTATGATGCTTTCCCCAGCCAGCCAGGTTTCTTGGCCAAGCCCTGCAGGTATTAACAAAGGTGTGCTGAAAGGAGAATAAAGATAGAGGTTCTACAGGAACAAAATCGGGGCACTGGAGAGCGTTCACGCATGATGGATAGCTGGGAGGTGGGTAGGGGTGAGAGCTCAATGGCCAAGGACTGGTGAGGTAGTCTGAGGAAGTGGGTAAGACTGTCAACACCACTACAAGGGATTTGCTTCCCTGCATAAGCGTCCACTGCGCTTCCCAAAACAGCTGCCAATTTGGCGTGCCAAGATCTGGATCGGCCCCTTTGGCTGTTTGATCAAAAGTTTTGATCTTAATATATTTTTACATTTGGTTTCTGCTTCTGGCCGGAGGCACTGTTAGGAGGATCATTCAGGCTGCTAAATGTCTTGTGCTTTGGGATATTACGTGCTTTTATGCTCCTGAAGTTTTTATGGGCCGGGTTTTTAATGGTTTGTCGGTTTGCATGACTTTACGTTTCTGTGAAGTGCCAAGCCACTTGGAGTGGATCTCTGAAAGGGCACTCTAGAAATCTTCTAAATTTAAATAAACATGGTGCTAGGGAGGGATGCCCACCTGCAGGTGGGACGTGGAGATCGCCAATTACGACTGACCTCCAGAGTGCAGAGATCTGTTCCTCAAGGGAAGATGGCTGCTCTGGAGGGTGGCATTATACCCCACTGAGGTCGCTCTCCTCCCCAAATTTTGCCTTCCCCAGCTTCCACTCCCAAATCTCCAGGAATTTTCCAAGCTAGAAACCCTCATGCATTGCTGGTGACTCTGGGTTGGGAGATTCCTGGGGAATGGAGCCGGAGGAAGGCAGAGTTTGGGGAGGGGAGGGACCTCAGTGAGATGTAATGTCACCCTTCAAAGCAGCCGTTTTCTCCAGGGGGACTGATCTCTGTAGTCTGGAGATCAGTTATGATAGCCCCACTGGTGACCTGCCTAGCCTCTCTGTGTTAGCTGAATCGGGGCGCTGATTAAAGGTATCAGATGACGGGGCAGACCAAAATCTTGCAGTCAGCTCTGTTACTAATAAAAGAATTTCTGCCCACCCATTTGGCAGTTCCCTGAGCTTTGCTGGATTAACAGAATGCAGTTTGCTCAGAAACGTGCAAACATCTTGTTGCCTTCTTCTTTGGCAGGATTCATGTCCCCTGTCCCAGAGCAAAATCGGAACAAAGTCAAAATCGTCAGTGGACACCGAAACTTTCCCCTGTATGTTATATATGAGGATTCGGCTTCGCTCTGTCAGAGGTTGCCTGGCATTGTTAGAATCCGTGCTTCTTCCCAGGATAGTCCTCCTCTAATATCTGAATCTCCCCCCACCACTTCATTTAAGTTAAAGTCAAAGCCTTTAATGGCATAGCAATAAGATACATAGATATACAATAACAGTATGGATATTTAGGAACATAATAAACAATACGAATCATTCCTTTATGAATTTAAGTTAATTTTACCAGATCGGAAAACTGACACTCCCAACAGCTCTTGAATTAGGTACTTTTTAAAAAAACTTTGTAAATGTTAAGTATTTAGTTCTGCATTAGCTTGAGTTCTGAGACTCTGGGGCAAGTGATGCTCTGTCATCTTGGTGCTTGGGGGGGTCAACAGTGGGATGGCTTTTAATGTCCTGGCCCCACTGGGGGACCTCCTGATGGCACCTGGTATTTCTGGCCACTGTGTGATACAGAGTGTTGGATTGGATGGGCCTTTGGCCTGATCCAACATTGGCATCTCTTATGTTCTTATGAGACAGGATTGTAAATAGACTATTCAGAGCTGCGCAATGTTCTGGAGGGAAGCACTCTGATCGGACCTTATCTGTAAATAGTGATTGGTTAATATCTGACTTGTGGGTGTGGCTACCCAAGCCCGGACTGTTTAAAAGAGAGCATGTTGCTCTATGTTTTTGTCTCGTTCTGATTTCTTCTGACTTCGTTAATAAAGCTGATTCACTGTTCACAAGCTGTGTTGAGTCTCGTACGTAACAGTAAATATTAGCAGCTATTAGCTATTAATCACAATTAAAGTGGAATAAAGTTCAGTCTGTGTTAAAAAATGAATTTGCTCGGGGTTATAAATATGCCCTCGCTCTGACTTGGATGGCCCAGGCTTGCCCGATCTCACTAGATCTTGGAAGCTAAGCAGGGTCGCCCAAGGTTACTACTTGGATGGGAGATCACTGAGGAAGGCCAAGCTCCCTACACCTCTCTTTGTCTCTTGCCCTGACCTGGATGGCCCAGGCTGGCCTGATCCCATTAGATCTCGGAAGCTAAGCTGAGGATCGGCCTTGGTTGGTGTTTGTACCAAGGAAGTCCAGGGTCGCTGTGCAGAGACAGGCAATGGCAAACAAACTCAGAATGTCTGTTGGGAAGCTGTACAGCACCAGGTAGACGCCGATGCCTGTGATTTTCAGCTTAAATCGCCCAGGCTAGCCCCATTTTGTCAGACCTCAGAAGCTAAGCAGGGTCGGCTGTGGCTAGTATTTGGATGGGAGACCTCCAAGGAATACCAGGGGTATGATGCGGAGACAGGCAGTGGTAAACCACCTCTGAAGTCTTCTGCCTTGACAACCCTACAGCAGGGGTGTCGAACTCATTTGTTATGAGGGCCAGATCTGACATAAACGAGACCTTGTTGGGTCGGGCCATGTGTGTAATAAAATGTAATGCCAGGTAGCAGAGATATAAACTTTATAAAGGACACAAACACAAAGGTGTTTTTTTAACTTAAAATAAAAACATGCTTAAAACGTTAGCACTCTTGCAATTTTTTCTTTATTTAACAGTGTCTGATAATTGACACCTCTTGCTCTGAATTATTGCATCAAAGTGTCAGTGCTGTTGCAATCTTGAGTATGTTGTTCAAGTGTGTATCTGTAAGCTGCAAACCTACGATGATGCAGCAGCAGCAGCAGCACTGGAAGAAGCAGAAGACAGCCAGTTCCATTGTGAGCCTGATAGAAGCCCACCGGGGGCCTGATCTGGCCTCCGGGCCGCATGTTTGACATCCCTGCCCTACGGGGTCACCGTAAAGTAAAGGTAAAGGTTCCCTTGCTCGAAAGCCAGTCGAATCCGACTCTAGGGTTGCGGTGCTCATCTCCATTTCAAAGCCAAAGAGCCAGCGCTGTCCGAAGATGTTTCCGTGGTCATGTGGCCGGCATGACTAAACACCAAGGTGCACAAAACGCTGTTACCTTCCCACTGAAGTGGTACCTATGTATCTACTTGCAAATTGCAATTTCTTGCTTTCGAACTGCTAGGTTGGCAGGAGCTGGAACTAGAGACAGGAGCTCACTCTGTCATGTGGCACACTCGGGTCTTGAACTGCTGAACTACCGACCTTCCACAGCCTGCAGTTCAGCGTCTTAACCACTTGAGCCACCCAGCTCCTCGGGGTCACCATGAGTCACCATAAAATGATGGCATTAAAAAAATTAAATAGGTTATGAACATTAATGGTTTAAGACTAACAGAATACTTAATCTGGGGGGGATAACAAATTATCCGTGCGTTGGATAAGGCCATCTTTTTCGTTCACTCTCAGCTCACTTTTCTACAGGCCCATCTCAGATGGCTTTCATCCAGGCAGGTCCTGTGATCTGCAGCTGTGCCTCCTCCCATTTCCACCAGCGGAAAAGGTGGTCCGATCTAACCCTATGCCCTTGACAGAAATTAAACAAAGGTCTGGAATTAGATCTGCCTTGCTAGAACCTGAGAGCGGGGCAACATTTTGTTTTGGTGCATTCTGTTTCTCTCCTGTGTAGACAACTGAAGCACTGAATATTGTTTTATTGGTAAATGGTACGCATGGAAGTCAATTACCACATATGGGTTTTGCATTACAGTAAACAAACTAATTATGTGCAAATCCAGAAAAATCAATTGGTAATCATTACAGGGACTGCATAATGAAGATCTCATGTTTCAAGCCATTTAAATTAGTAGTTATGTAACTGACCTGGGTGTCGTTTTCAGTTTCAAGCTGTATTCATTACAAGGGAGGAGCAAAAACAACAACAGCAACAAAAAAAACCCAAGAAGAGAACAGCTGCTTGAACTCCATAGCATTGGCAACTACAGATTGGGAAATTCCTAAGGGTTATTGATCTTTACGATTGGGTCCTCCTATTTATATGTATTTAACCCTTTAGGTTCCTAATTTATATTTCTCGGGTTAAGGTTTTTGTCCCCCTTTTTCATAATTTGGGCACTCTCCAGGCATCACCTGGAAGTTGGCAACGCTAGATACTGGTGATGGTTTTCCTGCCTACCATTTTTTAAAAGGATTTGGTAAGGATTTCGGTTTACGCTGAGTGGCAGCATCTTTAAGACTTTAGTCTCCTGAGTTCTCGCGAAAACCTCCGCGTTAGTTTCTGCTGCAGCCTGCAGCAAAGGAATTAGTAACGTAGTGGGGTTGTATGTGTAAACCTGCATTTATTTCTCCCTTGTTATGAAAATGCATATGAGTACTGGGGGGCTGGGAGAGATTACTGTCCTTCGAAGAGTCACGTGTCAACGATGCCAAGCTAAAGGGATCCCTTCCACACGGCTGTAGATCCAGGAGAGCTGCGGTTACCCTCGCTCGAGCCTCTCCGCGACCCCTTGCTTTGGCCTGGCTCGGCGATCCACGGCCCTGCCTGGCTCGACGCCGGAACCCGGAAGTGGGGACGATTTCGGTCCATGCGGGCGTCCCTGGCAGGGGAGGTTGCTCCGTTGCCATGTCGACGGCGATGAACTTCGGGAGCAAGAGCTTTAAGCCGAAGCCGCCGGACAAAGGCGCTTTCCCCTTGGATCATTTCGGTGAGCGAAGGGAAGGCGGGGCTGGGAGCCCTCCCGCTCAGTCAAGGCGCTAGTCCCTTTGGCCCTTCTGGGTGCTAAAGGGACTGGCGTTAACGGGACCTCCAGGGTCATCTAGGGGGTTGGGCTAGATGACCCTAGAGGTCCCTTCCAACTCTGTGATTCGGTTCCGGGTGGATCCCTAGACACATGCTCTAAGTCAGCGGATAAAAACGAATTTCAGTAAGATTGGATGTGCTCTAAGTCAGCGGATAAAAACGAATTTCAGTAAGATTGGATGTGCTCTAAGTCAGCGGATAAAAACGAATTTCAGTAAGATTGGATGTGCAGGTTAGTACCCAAAAACTAGTGAACTAGGGTAAACATAATCTGTTTTATGTCATTTCCAAATTGGAAACCCAACCTATTGGATTATACTGCTTTTATTTCATAGCTCTTTAATTGCAGTAAGCTAAAGAAATGCTTATGTGACTACTTTTATTTTTTTTTAATGGCAGTATGCAAAATAAATACTTACACAACCCAACTCTCTCTCTCTTTCTGACTCTTTCTCACATACAGCCTTTTAGCAACCATTGCAGGTTTAGAAGTAGTTTAGGTAGGGGCTACTGTAAGTTCTTGGAGGATTGGCTACATTAGAGGTGTGTCGCCTAATATGCAAAGGAGTTCCTGCTACAAAAAGAGCCCTACGAATAGCCAGGAGATCCTAAGATTGTCTGGTAGCCAGAGGTTCTAACAACTTTTAGAAGAAGAGTTGGATTTATACCTCCGCCCTTCACTCGGAGTCTCAGAGCAGCTCACAATCTCCTTCCCTTCCTCTCCCCACAACAGACACCCTGTGAGATAGGTGGTGCTGAGAGAGCTCTGAGAGAACTGCTCTTGGGAGAACAGCTCCGAGAGAACCGTGGGTGACCCAAGGTCACCCAGCTGGTTACATGTGGAGAAGTGGGGAATCAAACCCACCTCTCCAGATTAGAGTCTCCAGTTGTAACCACTACACTAAACTGGCTCTTTTAGCATTATGCACCACTAGGCGGCGAGTTAGACTTGTTTTTAAAGCAAGAGAGGTTTCAGAGGTGGTTTGCCATTGCCTGCCTCTGCGTCATGACCCTGGTATTCCCTGGAGGTGGCCCTTCCAAATACTAGCCAAGACCGACCCTGCTTAGCTTCCGAGGTCTGATGGGATTGGGCTAGCACGGGCTATCCAGGTCGGGCAGTAGTTTAGGTGTTATAACAGTAATTGTTGGAACAGGTGATTGACATCTCCATGTAACTTGTGATCGTCTCTTTATGTATCTACTTCATTTCTTGTCCACATTTCTTGTTGGGACTGCAAGAGGAATGCAGAGTTCTAAGAAACATGCAATAAAGACCAGTATGATGTATGCAACGAATGGTGTGCCAAAAGTAGGCCACACACTTTAAAGAACAATGAAATAAAAATAGTGCAGTACATCCAATAGCCTCTTTTTCACGCTTGGAGAGAAATGAGATAAAGCCAGAATATGCTCACCCTAGTCCAGGAAGACATATTTTCTTTTGTACTAACCTGTACATGCATTCCTACTTAAATTTGTATTTATTTACTTTAAGAATGACTCTTCTGTTACACCCTCAGAAGTACTTTTGTTTCCAAAAAAAGTATGTGGCAATAACTGTAAATTTTAAAGGGCACAAAATAATAACAAATATAAAATATGGGAAAGAACTGGAGGGTCGTTTACCTGATAGAAGAAAGGTGTGATCTCTACCTTCACCCAAATAATCCACTCCTGTCAAATGTATTCCCCCTCCCAACAATGCATTATCGCACTTCTAAGAATTCAGAGCAGCCAGGAAGGCTGTTTTTTAATCTGTGCTTGCAACATACCTGGGAGCTAGCATGGCGTAGTGGTTGGAGTGTCAGAGTAGGATCTGGGAGACCCAGGTTCGAATCCCCACTTTACCACAGAGGCTCACCTTGGGCCAGTCACACACACTCATCCTAGCCTACCTGACAGAGTTGTGAGAATAAGATGGAGGAGAGAAGAATAATGTAAGTCACTTTTGGTCTCCATTGGGGGATAAAGGTGGGGTATAAATTACTTAAATAAAGAAAAAAACCCATATAGCCATTATTTAAAAATATACACATTGATATTGTGTATTAAGATTAATAATAGAGAAAAGGTGCACAAATAAGATACAAAATGTGGGAAATAAACGGGGGAGGGGTCTGCCACAGAATGTCTTGAGAAGGTGAAACAACTCCCCACCTGTCTATCTTGTCCCTAGGACACTGTTTTGTTCTGGAGCTGGAGGTGATTCTGTATCTGTTCCCCCTCCCCAATGTACGTGTTGCAGGTGAATGTAAAGCCTTCAAAGAAAAATATATGAAGTGTCTGCGGGAGAACGGCTTTGAGAACAGCTTGTGCAGGCAGGAATCGAAGGAATACCTAGAATGCAGAATGGACAGGTAAGTGCTTTCCCGCTTCTTGCAAAACCTCCCATTGTGCTAATCAACGGATATCTGCTCTGGCGTGGTGGATGCTGGATCAGCTTACGCCAGGATGTCAGCTGTCCATCCCTCTACATGGTTTATCTGTGAAATCGTTAGTGGGGTGCTGGGTGTATTACACAGTTTGGCTTGTGATCTGTTGCTCGCTTGCTTGCAGGAAAAAAAAATGAGGTCTGGTGTTTTAGAAAAGAGCTGTTTGCCCTCTGCATGTGTTCAGTTGCTGCTCAGGCTTAGAAATGGATTTGAAGTGTGGAGATTTGTTCTGAGTGCACAAATACATCTTGCCAAGCACCAAACTCTCAATAGACCCAGCAGTCAAACCAATCATATAATTTATTTATTTATTTATTTATTAGATTTATAACCCGCCCTCCCCGCAAGCGGGCTCAGGGCGGCTCACATTGTCTGGCACAATGTGCCAAGATTGATATACAGTTAAAACATTTAAAACTTAACATTTAACACTGTTAAAACATTTAAAAGTATGTATAAGCCTTACTTGAAGCTGATTTCGACATATATAATTCCTGGGGTGCAGTGGATTTGATCCGGTGATTCCCCATAGGTTGTGCCTCTGGGTTTGTATCCTATAGACACTGTCTTTGGTGTAGTGATTAAGAGCAATGGACTCTAATCTGGAGAACCAGGCTTGAATCCCCACTCCTCCATATGCAGCTACTGGTGTGACCTTAGGTCGGTCACAGTTCTCTTAGAGCTGTTCTCTCAAGAGTGGTTCTCGAGAGAGCTCTCTCAGCCCCACCTGCCTCACAGGGTGTCTGTTGTGGGGAGAGGAAGAGGAAGGAGATTGCAAGCTGCTCTGAGACTCCGAGTGAAGGGTGTAGTATAAATCCACCTCTTCTTCTCTCCCTCCCTCTCTCCAGCAGGGGGCTATACCTTCATTAGTGCCAGTCAGGGCATCTGGGAGGTGCTGTATTGAAGTTATTGAGGTAGGGTTTCCCTATCTGAGGTAGGGTTCCCAACTCCGGGCTGAGAAATTCCTGGAGATTGGTGGTGGAGGCTGCAGAGGGTGGAGTTTGGGAGGGGAGGGACCTAATTTGGGTTATAAAGCCATAGACTCCACCCTCCAAAGCAGCCATTTTCTCCATTTGTAGTCTGGAGATCAGTTGGAATTCTGGGAGTTCTCCAGGTCTGGAGGCTGGCAACCCTGATGTGAGGTCTGAGTTTAAATTCCAATTCTGGCATATGGGTCTTTTACTCTTTTTCTTGGGGATACCCATAGTCGGGGCATAGGTTAACGTATTTCTAAGGAGCCAGGTTCTGTCCCTGGCATCTCCACTCACAGCGCCAGCAGGAACATGCCGGGGAAATTAGTAAATCTCTGCCTGCTGCTGTTGAGAGTAGACACTGCTGGCGTTGATAGACCAAAGATCTGGCAGCGTAATGCCGTGGCAGGGGCTTGTGAGAGGCGGTACCGTCCTTGCAGGGGCCTGTATCATCTCAGAATGCACCGGAAGCAATGTCACATTTTAGGAAATGCAATCAGGACCTCCTGGTATGTTCTGACACAGCTGAACAGTGTGATTTGAGGATACAGTCCTAACCACATTCGCTTGGAAGTAAAAGGGATATACTTAAAGGCGCTTAGGACTGGGGCGTTTGCCACCCAGATTCGACTGTGGCTTGCGTGTCGCTAACTTCCTCTAGATTGGTACCAAAGCCTGGTAAATTGGTGACATTCTGAGATTCAGAGCTGTTGACATTAGTTTATGCTTTCCAAAGAAATAACCTGCTTTACCAAACACCTCAATCCAGCACATGCTGTGGAGTCTTGTGAGCAAAATTTCTACTTTGTGAGCTACTAGCGTTAAAGTTTTCAGCGAGTGATTTGGATGCTGAAGAAATTAATTTGCTCAGGAGCAATCCTTCCTGAGCGAAGACAAAAATGCATGAGCTGGAGCCTAAGAAACTGTGTGCTAGCTCACACTAACTCAGCTTAGAGGGAACACTGTTAACAACCAAGCCCTGTCAATGCTGTTTCTAAAATGTCCCCTTGAAATGCCTCCCGTCTTTTTGATCCTCCCAACACTCCCACTGAGGCATCTTGGTATCATTTCCCTGTTAAGAAGGCTTAGAGGCTCTTTTTGAAGGGAGAGGGCTTTAGCTTAGTGGTAAAGGAATGTGTGTGTGTGTGGGGGGGGTTTAGATTCACTCCCTTTCATCCCCAGTTTTAAGAAGGATCCCAGTTAGCTCTCCCTGAGGCCAATCAGAACTGGGCTGTATCTGGGCTATAGGAATCCAAGGTATATAAGGTAACTTCATATGGTCAAGGATGGGTGGAGCAAGATCCTTTCACCGGTGATGCCAGAAATTGAATTCGGGACCTTTCCCAGATCAAAAGTGTTCTACAAGTGACCCACTGGTGCAGTCTAACGAGTCTTAGGATGAACCAGTGGCTCATTGGTAGAGCACTCTTAACATGGGAAAGGTTCTGAGTTCAATTTCTGGCATCGCCGGTGAAAGGATCTTGGCTTGCCGTTTGCTAGGTGAAGGCCGTTTTCTGCCCAAGGGACCTGACTGGGTATCTCAGGAACCTTCATAGGTATTATTATTCTTTATTATATAAAATGTTTTTATGCTGCCTTGCCACCCAAAGGCCATGAACATGAAAGCATTTGAACCATGAGAGCCAGTTTGGTGTAGTGGTTAAGTGTGCGGACTCTAATCTGGGAGAACCGGGTTTGATTCCCCACTCCTCCACTTGCACCTGGCTGGATGACCTTGGGCAAGCCAGAGTTCTGATAAGAGCTGTTCTTGAAAAAGAGCAGTTTCTGTCAAGAGCTCTTTCAGCCCCACCTACCTCTCAGGGTGTCTGTTGTGGGGAGGGGAAGGGAAAGGAGTTTGTAAGCTGCTCTATGAGGTATAAATCCAATCTCTTCTTCTATTAAAAACAGCACTTAAAACGTTTTGATAAAAACATATAAGCAACACAGCACCAAAAACCAGGGACGGAGGCCATAACGGTTTTTGGGAGTTTGCCAAACGAAAAAGTTTCCACCTGCTGGCCGAAGGCTCCTATAGAGGGAGACAGACAGATCTCCTTGGGAGGGGGGGAGATCCAAAGTTTTGGGGCCACGACCGAGAAGGTCCTTTCTCAGGTTGCTACCCTTCTGGCCTCAGAGGGCAGGGGCACCCAGGCAGGGCCTCTGAGTATAACCCAAGTGGACAGGTGGGCTCACATGGGAGAAGGCGGTCCTTAACTCACCCCCAAAGTCACATAAGCAAGCAGCAGTCCTTTATACATACTTCTCTGTGTGTAAGAATTGTGATGTAATAGCGGTGCAGAGATTTTCATGGTGCCTGGCTTTGCACAGCGTCATTCTGCTTTTCATCAGGCGGGCAAGGAACTTTGGGATCTTCCCACATTCCAAGCCTGTTTTGATCCATGAGGGCTAGAACCTTGCCTTTCCCTGAGCATAATCCCACTAGCACACAGCCCCACACATGATACCTCTTACTTTATTATTTTAAGGGGCCAAGATTGTGGAGCTCCAGTGACATGAGTAAACATGCTGCTTCCAAGCTTAATATTTTCTTTTTCTTTTTTCTTTTTTTAATTTAGGCAGCTGATGGCCAGAGAACCACTGGAAAAACTAGGTTTTAAAGACCTTGTGGAAGAGAAGTTCGAAGCCAAGAACGAGAAGGCGTAATGAAGGAAAGACAATTCTTGGCTGCCTTTGATGGAACGTAACACCTGCAGCAGATCCTATTGTATGTTGGGAAAAAGTATTTGGGGGGGGGGCATTTGTTACAAAAGGAAATATCAAAACTATCACCCCAGTGGAACTTTGCTCAAGAATGAGGCAGAGGGCGAATCTTCCTTGGAGGTTCAGATTTGTACTGTGTGCTCCAGCACTCGTTTCACAAATAGAGCCCGGGGATTTGCTGAAATGCCTGGGACAGAGGAGCTGTGTTCTCTTGCACTAGCTGAACATGGGAGGCTCAGAGTGCTGCTCCCAAGGATCCTTGCAAGTGTGCCTTTGGCGATAATGCACATAAAACCTGCCCATCTTCTCAACGGTGGAGGTTTCTCCCCGAAAAGGCAGTATGGATCTTAAGCATAGATGGGACTTGGCAAGCATGGGACTTGATTTCCAGTAGAACTTCTGTTCGAGCAGAGGCATTTGGAGATGGCATTGCATATGAAGGGTAGTTGTTATGTGAGCTGTGTTTTTGGGGGAAATAAACCCTTGTCTTTTTTATTACTGGATTTTTGTTCTCCCTTCTTCTGTCTGCAGCTCTTCCAGATTTATTGGAGGGGGGATGTTTCTTATTAGAAGGTCCCAGGTTCAGTCCCCAGCATCTCCAGTTAAAGGATATGGCAGTACGTGCTGTGAAAGACCTCTGCCTGAGAACTCAGAGAGCCGCTGCCAGTCTGGGGAGACAATACTGACCTTGATGGACCAGTAGTCTGACTCAGTAGAAGTAGGGCTGCCAAGTGGGGGCGGGGGGCAGGGAACCCCCCGCTTTGGAGGCCCGATTTCCGCAGCGGAATCGGGCCCCGGGGGAAACTCCGCCCCCCAAAGCTGCGTCACCAGAGGTGACGTAGCCACATCGCTCACGTTGGGGGCGTGGCCCAGATCGTTGGGGGGGAAACCATATGGTTCCCCCCCTGATGATTTGGGCCACGCCCCCAACGTGAGTGACGTCGCACGTCACTTCCGTTGATGTGCTGGCGGCATCCGGAGCCGGCGGAGCATCCCCCGCCAGTGAGTATAAAGGGACTTGGCAACCCTAAGTAGAAGGCGGATTCATGTGTTCACGTGATGTTAAACCAGAAAGGCCTGGTCCTTTCCCCCTGAGCGATACGGTACAAACGTGAGAAGAATCTCCAGTGTCTTCCAAGGAGAGGAATGTCATTTTTCCACGCTTCTACAAAGGGAATCTGCTCGAGGCTGTAATGGAACCTACTGCTGGTGGTAGAACAACCGCAGCATTTTTTTTTGACAGGGCGCCTGTGAGATCTTATCCTGCGTAATAAATGGAAGGGGAATGCTAACATTCCCCCCATAAATGGCAAGGAGTCCATTCACTTGTGGAATCTGTAACTTCTGAAGATTGTGCACAAGGACAAATGTGTTGCCTCTGTGGATCGCAACTTACGGGGGCCACCTCGGCCTCTTGGGCTTTGTGCTTACGAAGCGCCTAACCAGGAGTCATTTTTCCTTAACCCTGGATAAGATGCATTATGGCCACATACCTAGACCAGGCCCCCCCCCCGACCTTTTCGAGCCTGTGAGCCCCTTTGGGATTATGACATGGTGTGGTGGGCTCAGCCACAAAATGGCTGTCACAAAACGACTGCTTCGGGAGGCGGAGCTAGCCACAAAATGGCTGCCACAGCTGACCTTCTGTCACACACACAGTGGAGATCCGTGTGCTGCGGTGGCAGCTGCTGCCAGAGCAGTGTTTTTAAGAATCTGCACAGCCACTCAAAAACCTTGCCTTGGTGGGCACCAGGAAAGTGTCAGCGGGCAGGCACCACAGGGCCCATGCATGGGCACTCTGTTGGGAACCCCCGACCTAAATCGTGGTTAAGGATTGGTTGTGGCCTTTTCTTTTTTTAAATGAAGACCACGTTAAGCCGGGTCTGAGTCCTGTTGGTCAGGAGAAAAGCTGGAATAGAGGGAGCTTAACTAAATCGAGCAGGATGTGAAACCCTAGTGTGAGGTGAGCATGAATCATGTGCAGAGAGAAGCCGGGGGTGCCCAGAAAGCACGCCTCTGGAGCATATTCCAGAACTGGTGCCCTCAACTGGGATTCCCGGTGGGGAGAGATTATTGGCTAAAAGTGGCGTGCATGCACACTTTCTCAGGAGTAACTCTGTCCTGAGGCTTGTGGCGGTTGTGTTTTTAGGACGCAGATCTATCCCAGGATTTAAATCTGTGCATCAGTAGAGGTGAAAGTCATGTGATTACTTTCTCAAAAAGCACAAACCCAAACTCTTGAAAGAACCCCGCAAATTTCCACATGCTGAAGCTGGGTGACGTTGGGTCAGTCACAGTTGTCTCAGAGCTGTTCTCTCAAGAGCAGTCCTCTCAGAGCTCTCTCAGCCCCACGTACCTCACAGGGTGTCTATTGTGGGAGAGGAAAGGAAGGAGATTGTAAGCCGCTCTGAGACTCCTCCTCCTCCTCCACTGGTTTGTTTTCTTCTCTCTTGAAACTGCCCATCCCAATCTCTTCCTTCCTTTGCTGGAAAGTGTGGACTTGTGAAAAAAGGTGCAAAGTTTTTAAAAAGACAGAGAGAGAACAGTCTTTTTGCTGGACTAGAGTGAAAATGGCAATTGGGATGTGTTGTGTCTTGGACACTTCCCAAAGTGTGGCGTGAGTGTGTTATTAACTGCAGCGTTTATATCTTCAAATTATTGTCCTGATGAAAAACCAGGCTCTGCTAACACAAGCAGGGAAAGCGTAGGAATACCAGCCGCTTTTGTGGACATCCCTTTGTTTCTGTGAACTGGTAGATGGCAGGCTTTAAGGCCTGGAATGGTTTTTAGGATGAGGCTATCCCAAGGACTGCCTGTTCCAACACAGTCCTGTTCCACAGGATCTTTGTCAAAATGCCCTGTTCTGGGTGCAGCTCAATGGAGGCGAAGGCCTCCTCGGTGGTGGCCTGATTATGGAACAGCCTGTCTCGAGAGCTTTGCTTGGGACGACCTTGTCATTTTGAGTCCAGGTGAAGATGATTCTGCTTCGGTTCATTGTCAATTTGGGTTTCTAAAAATTATTTTACGTTCAATCATTCTTCATCCATTCTTTCATTTTATTGGGAACATCTCGATAGCACAGTGACTTTTAGACTGAAAAAACATCCAACGACCAAAATGGTAATATTATGAAATTAAAACAATAGGATGCTATGATGTTGACTTAGAGAGGGCCAGTGTGATATAGTGATTCGAGTGCCGGACTAGCATCTGGGAGACGTGGGTTCGGAACCACACTCTGCTGTGGAGGCCAGCTGGGTGACTTCTGGCCAGTCACATGCTCTTTTTCTGTCTCAGTTTAACCCACCTCGCAGGGCTGTTGTGAGGATAAAATGGAGGAGGGGCAAGCAACGCAAGTCACTGCAGGTCTCCACTGGGGAGAAAGGCAGAAAAACACAAAACACAGAAGAGCCAGATTATTTTAGATTCATGTGGGAAGACATTTAATGGCTGCTATCAGAGACCCTAACTTACATCTGCATTCTTTTTGTTATGTATGAGACTTAACTCGGAGGAACAGTTCAACAAGTGATTTCAGCTTTATTTCAGTGAGAACAGCATAAAGGCTCAGCCTTGTAAGGACTAGACCAGCTAGACAAATTCCATAGGCAAAAACGGTAACTTATATACAATTGTGGCTGGGATAGCCACACCTACAATGTTTACAGCATCCAATCACATTAGCTACATTACATCCAATCACAATCAAGAGTTAACGTCCAATCCAAGCCATTCCCTCCAGAATGCACACAATTGGTCAGTATTTACAATCCACATAATAAGTGAAGCTAAATTATGCTTTACCATTATGTCTCTCAAGACATAACACTTTTATTGTGCTGCATTAAGGTTTTTCCCCTTGCTTGCTAGCTGGGGTTCTTTTCTAAAAAAAATTTGTTATGGTTTCTTTTTTAAATATGGACTTAGCACTGTACTGCTATTCTTATTTATTGTGTTATGGTTTGGAGTGTTATTTGTGAATTGGACATGGGGTGGTGGAGAGGCATGATAACAAAAATGAGCCAGTTTGGTGTGGTGGTTAGGAGCACGGACTCTAATCTGGGAGAACTGGGTTTGATTCCCCACTCCTCCACATGCAGCTGCTGGTGTGACCTTGGGCCAGTCACAGTTCTCTCAGAGCTGTTCTTGAAAAACAGCAGTTTCTGTCAGAGCTCTCTCAGCCCCACCTACCCCACAGGGTGTCTGTTGTGGGGAGGGGGAGGGAAAGGAGTTTGTGAGCCGCTCTGAGACTCCTTTGGGTGGTGAAGGGCAGGGTATAAATCCAATCTCTTCGTAAATAAAGAGGCAGTGTGTGCTGCTGACTGGCGGCAGACAGCTTGCACCGGTGTTTCCTTGTGTAAGCTCGGATAGCTCTGAATGACAGAACTGATTCTCAGCTGTGGTTGAGGTTTTTAGCAGGAAAAATGTCCACCTGTTTGTCCCCGACTTTAATGCAGAAACTTACAGGGCAGCACCCCCTAGTGGGGAGATGCAGCAGAGCAACTGGAATTGCTACCCAGTAGTGGTTAAAGCAGGGTTCCCCAATGTGGTGCCCGGGGGCGCCATGGTGCCTTCTGTCATCTTCCCTGGGGCCCACCAAGCGCTTTTAGAAAGTGGGTGGGGCTTTTGCCCAGCAAGGCTTCTAATTGGCCATTGGAGATTTGATTGGCTCTGCAGATTTTTTTAAAACTGTGGCTTCAGCAGCAGCTGTCACTGCAGCACAAGGACCTTCACTGTGTGACTGAAGGTAAACAGCAGCAGTCATGATATGACCGGCTCCGCCTTGTCTGGCGGTCATTCTGTGGCAGCTGTTTTGTGGCTGTGACCATCAAGCTGTGCCAAACTTCCAAAGGTGCTCACAGGCTCTGAAAGGTTGGGAACCCCTGGGTGAGAGTGTTGGACTAGGCTCTTCAGAGACCCGGGTTCAAATCCCCACGCTGCCTGAGGTTCAGCCCCCTCTGCAGGGTTATTGTGAGCGTGGAGTGAGGACAGGAGAGAGAGTATGGAATGCCACCCTGAATTCCTGTGGACAAAGGGCACGAAGAAACAGTGAATCATTTATTTATTTATTACATTTTTATCCCGCCCTCCCCACCGTGCAGGCTCAGGGCAGCGGCTTACAATATGTACCAATAAATGTATACATTAAGACTCCACAATATTAAAACAGAATTCAATTAAAATTACTATAAGAACATAAGATGTTGGATCAGGCCAAAGGCCCATCCAGTCCAACACTCTGTTTCACACAGTGGCCAAAAATACCATGTGCCATCAGGAGGTCCACCAGTGGGGCCAGGGCACTAGAAGCCCTCCCACTGTTGCCCCCCCCCCAAGCACGAAGAATACAGAGCATCCCTTGCCCCAGACCGAGAGTCCCTATCTATACCTTGTGGCTAATAGCCACTGATGGACCCCTGCTCCATATGCTTATCTAATTCCCTCTTGAAGCCAGCCCTGCTTGTAGCCGCCACCACCTCCTGTGGCAGTGAATTCCATGTGTTAATCACTCTTTGGGTGAAGAAGTGCTTTCTTTTACCCGTTCTAACCCGACCGTTCAGCAATTTCATGGAGTGCCCACGAGTTCTTGTATTGTGAGAAAGGGAGAAAAGTACCTCTTTCTCTACCTGCTCTATACCATGCATAATCTTATAAACCTCAATCATGTCACCCCTCAGTCATCGTTTCTCCAAGCTAAAGAGCCCTAAGCGCTTTAACCTTCCTCATAGGGAAAGTGTTCCAACCCTTTTATTATTCGAGTTGCCCTCTTCTGCAATTTTTCCAAAGCTATAATATCCTTTTAAAGGTGTGGTGACCAGAACTGCACACAGTATTCCAAATGAGGTCGCACCATTGATTTATATAGGGGCCTTATGATATTGGCTGATCTGTTTTCAATACCCTTCCTAATAATCCCCAGCATAGCATTGGCCTTTTTTATTGCAGTCACACACTGTCTCGACATTTTCAGTGAGTTATCTACTACAACTCCAAGATCTCTCTCTTGATCATCAATGTGTATTTATATTTAGGATTTTTGGCTCCAATGTGCATCACCTTGCACTTGGCCACATTGAACCCCATTTGCCATGTTGACGCCCACTCGCCCATCCTTGACAGATCCCCTTGGAGTGCCTCACAATCCTCACTGGTTTTCACCACCCTGAACAACTTTGTATCATCCGCAAATTTAGCCACTTCACTGCTTACTCCCAACTCCAAATCATTAATGAACAAGTTAAAAAGCAGTGGACCAAGTACTGATCCCTGCGGTACCCCACTGCTTACCACCCTCCACTGAGAAAATTGCCCACCTACACTCACTCTCTGTTTTCTATGAACTAGCCAGTTTTTGATCCATAAAAGAACTTGTCCTTCTATCCCATGATTTTTGAGCTTACTTAGGAGCCTTTGATGAGGAACTTTATCAAAAGCTTTCTGGAAGTCAAGGTAAATAATATCTATTGGATCCCCCTTGTCCACATGTTTGTTCACCCCCTCAAAGAACACTAACAGGTTAGTGAGACAAGATCTTCCCTTACAGAAACCGTGCTGAGTCTGCCTCAATAGGTTTTGTTCATCTATGTGCCTACTAATTCTTTCCTTAATAATGGTTTCCACCAATTTACCCGGTATCGACGTCAGACTGACTGGCCTGTAATTTCCCGGATCTCCTCTGGAACCCTTTTTAAAGATGGGAGTGACATTAGCTACCTTCCAATCCTCAGGAATGGAGGCAGATTTTAAGGAAAGATTACATATCTTTGTCAGGAGATCTACAAGTTCACATTTGAGTTCTTTCAGAACTCTCGGATGTATGCCATCTGGGCCTGGTGATTTTTCAGTTTTTAAGTTGTCTATCAGTTTTAGGACCTCCTCTCTCATCACCTCAATCTGACTCAGGTCTTCCAACACCCCTCCTGAAATCAGTGGTTCTGGAGTGGGCAAGCACTTCTCATCTTCCACAGTGAAGACGGAGGCAAAAAATGCATTTAGCTTCTCAGCCATTTCCCTATCATCCTTCAATACTCCTTTTACCCCTTGGTCGTCCAAGGGCCCCACTGCCTCCCTGGCTGGTTTCCTGTTTCTAATGTATTTGAAGAAAGTTTTATTGTTGGTTTTTACGTTTTTTGCTATATGCTCCTCATATTCCCTTTTTGCCTGCCTGACCTCAGACTTGCATTTTATTTGCCATAGCCTGTGTTCCGTTTTATCAGCCTCACTGTGACTAGCTTTCCACTGCTTAAAGGAATTCTTTTTACTTTTTACAGCCTCCATTACTCTGTTTGTTAACCATGCAGGCTTTTTCCTATACCTGTTTGTGCCTTTCCTAACCTGCGGAATATATATTTTTTGAGCTTCTAGGATCGTAGTTTTAAATAGATCCCAAGCTTCCCCAATTGTTTTGACCCTTTCTACTTTTCCTTTCAGTTTCCTCCCCAAAGCAATGGTTCTAGCAGGTAAAGCGGTTATAGCAGCAGGATGGAAAGATGCAAGCAAATGGACAGAGAGAAACTGGCTTAACTATGTGTTTGAAATTATTCAGGCAGAGATAATCTCCGAAATCAACCAAGACAAGCCATGGGAAGAAAAAACAGCAACAATCCAAGAGAAATGGGCCATATACTGGAGATGGATGGAAGAAGAACAAAGGAACGACGTTCAGTGGAAGCTTCAAACACTATGCCCCTGGCTGAGAGAAAAGGACTAAAAACAATAGACTGGAGGGAGGGGGGGAGGATGGGGGGAAATGTTAGAAAATGATGGAATACGAAAATGTATAATCAGAATGAAAATAATAAGAATAATAAAAATATTTAAACAAAAACAAAAAAAATGATTTTTGGCTCCAATGTGCATCACCTTGCACTTGGCCACATTGAACCCCATCTGCCATGTTGACGCCCACTTGCCCATCCTTGACAGATCCCTTTGGAGTGCCTCACAATCCTCACTGGTTTTCACCACCCTGAACAACTTCGTATCATCTGCAAATTTAGCCACTTCGCTGCTTACTCCCATCTCCGAATCATTAATGAACAAGTTAAAAAGCAGTGGACCAAGTACTGATCCCTGCGGTACCCCACTGCTTACCACCCTCCACTGAGAAAACTGCCCATTTATACTCACTCTCTGTTTCCTATTAATCAGCCAGTTTTTGATCCATAAAAGGACTTGTCCTTTTATCCCGTGACTATTGAGCTTACTTAGGAGCCTTTGATGAGGAACTTTATCAAAAGCTTTCTGGAAGTCAAGGTAAACAACATCTATTGGGTCCCCCTTGTCCACATGTATGTTCACCCCCTCAAAGAACACTAACAGGTTAGTGAGACAAGATCCTCCCTTACAGAAACTGTGCCACATGCAAAGAGCCCTTTAGCTCGCCCTTCGGCTTGTGCCTCTGGCAAAGTGCTTTCTTAAATACTGAATTACAGTCAATCACAGCCAAAAAATGCCCCTTCCTCTCCCTCTCTCAAGCAGCCAGGACTCTGGAACAACTCTAATTGCTTTCAGACACTCCCAAACACAGTTCTCCCACACAATATCCTCAGCTCAATCCCCCCATATATAACCATAACTACTCCACATATAAATACAATAGAAGATGGCAGCGTTCTCTCAACAGTTGGATGGTCACCTACCCCTAACCCAGGCTGTTAGTTGTCAGATTGGCAATGATGTTGATGTTAGGGCCAGGGCCATGATTGTAAAGGCGTCCCCCTAATTAAAAGCCTGGTGGAAAGAGCTCCGTTTTACAGGCCCTGCAGAACTGCAGGAGGTCCCACAGGGCCCTGATGTCCTCCGGGAGCTCATTCCACTAGTAAGGGGCCGCCACAGAAAAGGCCCTGGCCCTCGTTGTAACCAGCCTGGCTTCTTTTGGGTCTGGGAGAACCAGGCGATTTTGGGATCCCAATCTCAGGGCTCTCTGGGAGGGTAGATGGATAGATGTTTTGTGCATATGGAATAGTGTCTCTTGAGTTGTTCCGAACAGCTATTGTTCTGGTTATCTGTGTTCTGGTAACATCCAGTTTAGACTACTGCAGCGCAACCTGTGTGGAGCTTCCCTTGGAGACCTCTTCCTGAGCTCTGCTCTCTCTGCCTCCACCTGCAGAGCTGAGGTGACTGTCAGCCAAGGACGGGGCTTTCTCACTGGTGGCCCCTAGCTTTTGCAATACCTTCCTGCTCCCTGGTGCCTACCTTACTGTGCTTTAGGAGCTGGGTCAAAACAGTTCCTGTTTCTTACCCAAGAGCCAAGATTCGAGTCCATTAACACCTTAAAGACCATCAAGATTTCCAGGGTATGAGCTTTGTCTCTCAAAAGGTTATACCCTGGAAATCTTAGAACAAATTCAGAGTCCAGTGGTACCTTGAAGACCAACAAAGGTTTATTCAACGTATGAGCTATGAATAAACCTTTGTTGGTCTTCAAGGTGCCACTGGACTCTGAATTTGTTCTACTGCTCCAGACCAACACGGCTGACCACCTGGAACTACCTTCCTGGAAATCTTGTTGGTCTTAAGGTGCTACTGGACTTGAATTGTGTTCTTCTACTGTGGGCCAACACAATTTCCCACCTGACACTTTTTCAGCCTGGGTTTTTGTCTGAAAGATCCCATCTTTTCAAGCTGCCTTCATGGCCCGCTTCTCGCCCGAAGGGTGGATTTATGGATATCATTTTATGCTGCTGATTGTTGTTTTATGGGTTTGGCCGGGTTGCTGGGGAAAGCCTCCCTGATTTCACAACAATGTGGTCTGACTTTGAATTGGGGTTGCCAACCCTGGGTTGGGAAATTCCTGGTGGTTTGGGGGCTGGATCCTGGGGAGGGCATGGTTTGGAAAAGGGAGGGACCTCAGCAGGGGAAAATGCCAGAGAGTCCACCCTCCACAGCAGGCATTTTCTTCTGGGGAACAGATCTCTATGGTCTGGAGCAATGCGCCCTCTAAGCCAGGGGTGTCAAACATGCGGCCCGGGGGCTGGATCAGGCCCCCGGAGGGCTTCTATCAGGCCCGCAGTGGAACTGGCTGTCTTCTGCTTCTTCTTCCGGTTCTGCTGCTGCTGCGTCATTGTAGGTTTGCAGCTTACAGATACACATCTGAACAGCATACTCAGGATTGCAACAGCACAGATATTTTGATGCAAGAATTCAGAGCAAGAGGTGTCAGTTATCAGACAGTGTTAAATAAACAAAGTATTGCAAGAGTGCTGATGTTTTAAGCATGTTTTTATTATAAGGGGGGAAAACCCCTTTGCGTTTGTGTCCTTTATAAAGTTTATATCTCTGCTTCCTGGTATTACATTTTATGACACACACAGCCCGGCCCAACAAGGTCTCATTTATGTCAGATCCGGCCCTCATAACAAATGAGTTCAACACCCCTGCTCTAAGCTGTGGAGTCTTGTGAGCAAAATCCTACTTTGTGAGCTACGGGCATTAAAGTTGTGAGCGAACGATTTAGCTACTGCATAAATTAGTTCGTTCTGGAGCCCTCCTTCCTAAGCTAAGACAAACGTGTGAGCCAGAGGCTAAGAACTGTGAGGTAGCTCACACTAACTCAGCTCAGAGGGAACTCTGGTCATCAGTGGTAATTCCAGGCCGCAGCCGGAGATTGCAGTCCTACTTTGGACGTCAGCTTTATCGGCTGAATGTTTGTACCAGCAGCACACTGAACGGTGCCATGTTTAATTTCTGCACCAGAATTGTTCAGGTTCTTGGGTCTTGGATTCGGCTCCTTAGGGGGGATTTTCCTCTTTCAAGCTGCCATCGGGGCCCACCGGATTTCATGTGATTCATCTTCTACTTCGGGAGAAGTTCCTGTTGGCGGCATAAGTCGGGCAAGAGTGAGAGATGAGCTCATCTTCCTGGCGCTTCCCTGCTCGCTCGCCAGCTTCCATGTGGCTTAGATTAAGACAAATGATGTAACCCAAGATAGCCAGGCAAGCAGCTGGTCGTGCAGTCCATGCCACTTGTACTTCCAGCGGTGCTTCTCTTTTGCGGAGGGCATGCCCTGGGACTGCAGTCATCCCGGGATGCACTTGGCACCCGTCCGCTCTAGCTGCCAGCAGCCAGTCAGATTAGCTCAGATGTGTAGAAAACACCCCTGGAGGATGTCACTGGCGATCCTGCACATAGCAGGCGACTGAGTCTACCATCTGCTGGGAAAGTTTGGCAGGGTGAACGGTGCGTTATGATTCATGCCAGCATGAGAAAGAGAGAGAACCCGGTGTGGAAGCTGCAGTTCTGGGAAGGAGAAAGAGAATGGGTAATAAACGCAGGATCAGAAGGAAGGGGGAAGGGAAAGCATAAATCACGGCCAAGGACTGAGGTCAGCATAAATCAATAACTGGTCATGTGGACACTTTGAAGCCGCCTTATGCTGAGTCAGGCTCTTGGTCCATCAGAGTCAGGATGGTGTGCTCAGATGGGCAGCAGCTCTCCTGGGTGTCAGGTCGAGGTCCTTCACGTCACCTACTTGCCTGGTCCTTTTAGCTGGAGATGCCGGGGATTGAACCTAGGACCTTCTGCATGCCAAGCAGATGCTCCACCAGTGAAACACAGCCCCAAGGTTACAGTATCTCTGGGAAATGTCAGGGAAGTGAATCACTTCTGTTAATGGGGCTTATCATGACCAGTCTTCTTGTTGGATATTTAGCACAGTAAATGAAGCGCAGCGGAATCATGCATCACATGATCACAGACAGATGTGTGTTTGACTTCTAAGAAAATTTTCACTTTGGAATTAAGGAAAGGATTACATGGAAAGAAAACAACAACGGTCTTAACTAATTCATCTTTCTAGTTCTGATCTACTTGATCCTCTTTCTTTGTTCCCTCTAAACCTAAGAAGGAAGGAATCGAAGTTTCCACCCCTTGTGTACATGCTGAATAGCATGAACTATCTCCAGTATATTGATTAGCCAATAGTTGATCTTAAGGTTACCTCATTAAGAATATAACCTCCCCCTTTTTGGTGGGAAGAATTTACTCTACAACTGATTGGTTCTATGCTAAACTTGCTATTATTAGCTTACAGAAACTTCAGTTTAAACCTTTCATGACTGAAGGGATGATACTTGCAAAAACCCAGTGCTTTCCCATTTATCTGGGGTGCTACTAAAAACCACACATCCACAGCCTCAAAGCCATCGCTCATTGGCGGCTGCCGAGTTGGTGGGTGTGAACAATGCCACCACCTCCTAAGGATCTATGCATCCCAATTATTTTGAGTCAAGGTGAGGCAGGGATCTTTTCAATGCCCCTCCCATTTAAGCAGTCACCGGGCACCCAAGCTGGGGATGCCAAAACCTGCTTGGGAAATACCTGGAGATTTGGGGGTGAAGCCTGAAGAGGGCAGGGTTCGGAGAGGCGAGGGACCTCCGCAGGGTATAAATGTCACAGACCTGCCATTTTCTCCAGGGGCACTGATCTCTGTTGTCCGGAGAACAATTGAAATTCTGGGAGCTCTCCAGACCCTACCTGGAGGTTGGCAATCCTCACCTAACAGGAAGAAAATTTCTTTTTTTCTCTCCAGTGTAGCTGCAAACCCGGGGGGGGGGGAGGACAGGAGCATGATTGGTGGTGAAATTGACTCCAGTTTTTTGGGGAGAGGGGGAATAGAACAGTACAGCCCCC